GTGCGTATATTCTCTTTTACTTAAGCTAATGAACATATTTATTTTATATTATATGTTTTTCTCACATAACATTATTTTTATAGGTTCTACCCGTCAAAACAACCGACTTATAAAATATGGGACATTATATGGCATGTTTGACACTCCTTATGTTTCTTGGAAGAAAGTCTTGAAAGAAGTACAGGAAATGTGGTTTAGAGAGTTTGAGATATTTTTAGGTAATATTTTTATGTTATGTCTAAATAAATGGTTTATTCTTTTTTACTTAAGCTAACAAATATATATATTATATATTGTATGTTTTTGAATGCAGAAAGATTTTTGTTGGCTGCTCCAGCAGAATGATAAAATTAAAAAGAATTTTGAAAAGCGTGGGTCCACTTGGATGCGCGATATATTCACAGACATTAGAAAGACTAGTGAGCAGCCATTGTGGATTGGAGAGACTATATAGGCTGAGTTGAACACTGGTTGAGGCAGCACAGAGTATAACAAGAGGAGGGATCAAAATTGACAGAACAGAGCTTCTGATATTGGAGGCTTGGGTAGTTTGCTTCATACTAGCGGCTCAATTCCATATACTAAGCACAGTCAAAGTTTAGTAATGAATTTTAAAAGTATTTTAAATTTTTTCTTTAATATAAACATTAATAAAATTCTATTACAAGAAGATATGCTGTGTAGAGATCCAACTCCTGTGAAATTGCATAGTCACACTCATAAGCGACATGAGGATCAACAATGAGTTTATGAGTGAGCAAGAAAAGCTCATGTAAGTATATGTGTTTAATAATTTTTATTTTAGTATCAGTTATATATACATTCTACTTTCAGGTGAGGAGTATACACGGCTTCGAGAGAGTCAGCCCGCAGCAGGTGAGTGTTCTTCTGACGGCTCTGTGGAGTATTCTGAGTACCGCATCTGGTCCCATGAGGAATGCAACATGCATGGCAGGGTTTATGGTTTAGGTTCACAAGCCCAAGCATACGAGGGGATGACCTCTATTGGATCCAGCTTCGCAGCCAGTTCACATGAGTCCTTATATAGTCAACAAATAACTGCCCTTCAAGTAGAACTTGAACAAGTAAGGAAATCAAAAGCTGATTGGCAAGTTCAATTGCAAGCACATATATAAATACAGATGCAGGAGCAACACAACCAATTGTTGGATAAAATGTGCAAAATGAGGGAGCAGTTGAGTGGAAAAGATGTAGCTCCAACTGAGGATGAGTCCATGGATTCATAGTAGTTTAGTTTTTTCAATGTTATATGAACTTGTATAAGTTTTTGAATATTTGGTGTTAATGAACAATTTTTAATATTTATGTTTATGTTTTAAAGTATTTGTTGAAGTTCTTGAAATATGTGATGTGTAGATCTGTGTTGTGGAATAATTATCTGTATATATTTGTAGGTGTGGAAATCTGATTGTTGCCTAGGAAGATAATTTTTTTTGTTTCAGCTACAGGTTTCAGACGAAAAATACGTCGGTAGTTTGCTGGAAATGACGATACAAAAAATTATTTGATTTGTTCTGGCGTCTTATATACGCCGGTATTTCCGGTGAATAATGTGATGGTTATAATTTGATGTTTTAGTTTCGGCGTACGTTGCGACGTTTATTCCGCCGATATTTTCAGTGTATTTTTAAGCCACAAATGTCGGCGTATTTAACGCCGGAATAACCTAACGGAAAACAACGTAATTGTTACTCATTTTTTTCGTCGGTAATGCACTGGAGAGTACGCCGGCACAATTTTCGGTGTAGTATTTACATCAAAAATATTTTTTCGATGTGTGCCAAACTGGCGCATGAAATTCCACCAGAAATATAATGAAAATGTTAACTTTCTGACGTTTTTTCCATGTTATCGGCGGATTACATCCGCCGGTATTCACGGGTTTTCCTGTAGTGCTCGTTTATCATACGAGCTCGATTGTAAGCTCAAGCTCAAAGCTCTATAAGCTCGACTCGCGAGCTCGTTAACGAGTTGAGTTCAAGCCAGCTCGGCTCACTTACACCCTTAGATCGAATCCACCTCAGATTGATGATCCAGTAATTGTGATATAATAATATAGTGTATTTCTTGAATCAATGATAAAATAATATATTTCAGAATTTATTTCGGGTCGTCATTATGATCCTGCTTGAAAAGGAAGATAAAAATAGTAACATGTATACAAAATCTTATAATATCAAAGAAGATAATACAAAGGTTTCATGATATAAACTATAGATATGAGGGCTACATAATAGTTAATTTAGAATGTATATAAGTTATATAATAAGTAGTTTTAATAGTAGCTACTAATAACATTTGTGAATGTCAGCAATTATGTTGATATGAAGCTTTGAGATTCTTTTAAGTCGTATAACTTACTTCATTTTTAGCCCAAGGTCTAGACATTCGAAGGTTTTCCACAGGGGTAGTCGTTTGAGTGACGTCTTTATTTTAGAGGTAATAAACCGGTATGGTTAAGCTTGTCTAAGATAACAACACTGTGTCACTTGCTAATTTTCTTGTACTTTGCCAATCCAAGTCGGAGAGGAATTTTATCTTTAGATACGACACTAATGTGATAACCCCAATAATTGACTACAAATCTCTCCCAAAGATAACATTTTATATTGATTATGACTTAACTAAAATGAATTGAACTAAGTGAGGGGTCTACTATAGGAACTTCCCAAGCGTGACAATAAGAATAATTTGTAAAACCCTTTAAGTAAAAGAAGCTAAATTATTAAATATTGAAGCATCTTTTGGTGTAATGATTATAATTTCATTAAGAAACTCCATAGTTAAGCGTGTTCATATTAGAGAAATCCTAGGATGGGTGATCTCCTATGAAGTTATACCAACAAGATAAAAATGTGAGGCCCTTAAGCCAAAACAAACAATTTTTCAATAGTTAAGAGTTTGAGCTGTTACAAATGATATCAAAATAATACATCAATTGAAAGATGGGTACTAAGTTTCATACATTATAAAATATTATGTCATGAGAGCCAGCTCTTGAACCCTATATGGGACAAGGCGCTATATTACGGGAGTCACCACTTAAACTTGTAAAGGTCACCTTTAAAATCCTATCTGCCTGGTGAATAATTCTAGGATACTGACAAGGATGTCAGTCACTTAAGTGGGAGAGATTATAAAATCTCTTAAATAAAAGAAACTAAACTCTTAAATCTTGAGGCACCTTTTGGTGTAATGGTTAGAATTTTATTAAGAATCTTTGTAGTTAAGGTGCTCAACCCAAAGAAATCCTAGGATGAGTGACCTTATGGGAAGATAAAATAATGATGTCCGTAGGCCAAAGTGGTAATATCTTTATAATTAAGAGTTTGAATTGTTATATAATTATCCCCTCAGCTCGGACTGGTTTATTGTCAACTTTATACAATAACCCTGCAGCAGGTTGAAGTGTCTTTATGACTAGAATAAGAAAGGTTAAGTAGAATAAAACATCCATCGAGCTCTCATTATCAATTAAATTTATTCAAATATTATAACATGGATCTCCAACACCAACATTGATGACAAGCGGGTCTTGGTGCAGAGTATGAATCCCCTCCTAGTTAGAATTATTAAATATAATGGAGTGATTAACTTGTGCTTTTTTTAATTTCTATTTTTTAAGGATGGTGAGGAAAACTTGATAAGACATCAAGGGTCCTCCAACAATGGTTCAATTTCATCAATCATTTGATGGTTAGCTTGTTGTTATCTTTGTTATTGTTAATTATGTCCCTAGTGAGATTGGCTTCATTTCGACCTTGTGGGTTTTGAGTAAATTGGCGGAGATGTCATTGTTGAATTAACCTTTCAATTTCTTTCATCAATTATTTGTAAGCTTCAATAGTATGTCCTCAATTTTAGTAAAATGATAATAATAATCTTGCCAGTATTTGACTTCTTCAGATTGGGTCATTTAACATTCTTTTCATTTTGTATAGTCATGAGAATATTAATATGCAATGTGTTCAATGGATTATATTTCTTATTTGGCTTATCTTCATGATTTTGTTGAGAATGACGAGATGAAAAATCTTAATTTCTTTTTTGAGATTTTTGTTCTCCGCCCTCATGTCCATTCTTTCTCTTATTAGAATATTGTTCAAATTATTTATGATGAGCATTGATAGACTCATCAATAGTAATTTGTGCTTCAACTCTATGAATAAGGTCAGCATAAGAACAAACAATCTCTCACATTAGCGAAAAGTAGAATGATATGGAACGTAATCCTCCAAAAAAAATGTCTCGAAGTAGTTCAGGATCTACTCCTGGAATTTATCGAACTTCAGAAAAAAAATATTTGAAAATAATCTTTTAATGATTCTCATTTACTTTGGTGGATTTCAGAGAGATGTGAAGAATCTTTAATAATTCTTTTTTTTTATCTGTAATAATTCTTCTGTTTGTGATAAACTTTTCAACGAAAAGTCTTACCAGATGAGAGAAATTGTGAATCTTGTTTATGGAAAGAGTTAAAACCGTATATTATCCTTTTTGAACCTTCTTACTCTTATTCACACTAAAATTTGTGCATGAACAAGAAGAATTTTTTGATGATGTATAATTAATTATTTTTTATCATGAAAGTTGTTGAAAAGCTGTTTTAAACTACTTTAATACACATCATATCCAAAGTAAAGATGTTAACATTTTGGAATACAAGAGTGCTTAATTTACTTATGTTTTTAAAAGTAAACATTTTATTTGATGTTTTATATTTTTTTGAAGTCGTGGGATGGATATATATTAGGAAATAGAAATGGATCATGTTTACTGGGTTCCAGTGCTTTTTGGGCCTTCAATTAAAAAATGGACACATGGCCCATTTTCTTCTTAAATGGATTAACAAGGAAAAGGGAAATTTCTGCATTAGTGTTGCAAACTTGCACCAGCATTAAATTTTTAAAACAATAAAAAATAATAATTTTAAAAACTAAAACTGAGCACGGACTTGGCTTATTTCAAAATTGTTTCGGCTCTCTCCATTTCTCGCTTTATGGAGGGAAAACTTTAGAGGACCACTATTGTCGACGAGGCTTCCCTGCGCTGTGAGCCAAATGGCTCTTAAGGGTTTCCTTCACAGAGTAGATTTGGAAGAGGTTAGATACTCAGAACTCTTCTTCTTTTCCCCATCGTTGCTTCCTTAACAATTTTCGTGTCAATCTTCAGCCCTTGATAATCCCAAAGCATCTGACTAATAGAAGCAACGGGTATTTTGTTTTTGCGATCCATCTATTCTCGTCCATCTACTCCTGCGTTAAATGGCATTTTGGGAACTGATATTTATATGGATTTTGCAGATCGGATAAGAGTTGGTCATCTCCTTCTGTTTGATGAGTTAGATCGATTGGTATCTTATGGAATTTGTCGATTCTATTTTATAGTTTGAAAGAATTTGCATCGCCGTTGATTTAATTTTTTACAGTTAATTGCGGTTGCTAGTCCTGCATCTATGCTATTTTCATTAGGTTCTGATGCCGCCTTAATTTGTTTTAGCCTTATTGTTGCAACTCATAAATGGTTTTTCACATTTTTCAGTTATATTTGCTTCATTTGGATCTAGACATTTTAGGTAACTTTTGTACTCCACTCGGGTGGCGAGCGTTTTCCTCAATTCCCTCTGATTTCATCATGCTTGTGCTGTTTTGAGGGAGATACATTGTTGGCTGTGGCTCTTCTTGAGCCATTGATGGGGACGGTACATTTGTGTTTGCATTCATTTTGCCTTGGTTAATGCCAGTAATGCATTTAGCAAGCAGACGCTCTATTTTTTATGGCACCTAAAGAAAACTTGCGTATTATTTATTCTGCCTTTTGTCTGCATCCAAACATTAACCTTCCATATTCTTCTAGGCAGCTTTAGTGCAGCATTTTATCAAGTAGAATATTAATTTGTCAATTAAATGTCTTTATTTTTTCACTTTTAAAGTTTTTAATCCTTTTTTATATTTTGATCTATTGGCTCTTCAAATTTCAAGCTTGCTTTTAGGTTAATTATTCTTTTTATATTTTGATACAGATTCATAAGAATTCCATACAGTTATGTGATCGTAGATAACCAAAAATCTACAATGATATATATTTTTGTCAAATTACTGAAGATGCACTATATATAAACATATCAGAATCTTGACCTTTTTTCTAGGTACCTGTTAAACTTTTCATTGCTATGATTATGAAAGGCTATAAAGCAAAGTGATAGGACTTAATGATTCAAACAACAAGCAAAAATATAAAAAAACAAAAATTTACTCCAAATAGATCCAAAAATAATAGCAAGAGAGCTGAATTTATTGATCTCCAAACAAAGTATGATAAGATAGAAGTTGATTCATTGTTTGAGAGGTGAATCATCTCTCCCATAATCCCTAGCATTCACTAGGAACCCAAACAACCCACAAAAATTACTGTAGAAAGTTAAAACATAGCATAAACTCTAACCCTCCACAATCTCCCCCCTTAAGCAGCCCAAATCCCCTAATAAATGCCCCTAACATCTTTCCCAGAGTTCCCCCTAAAGTCTCTTCTCCTATAAGTGATAAAGAAAGTCCCGAGCCCCACTTGGGAAGTTGGGCTATTGCTCGCCTGGTGGGTTACTGCCTGGGCAGTTGGGTTACTGCCCTCCTTGGCAACTGTGCTGTCAGCCATCACATCATAAGGCTAGCTGAGTTGACTGATACTTTTTAAATGAATTTGATTTTTCTTCTCGAACTTTGTTGATGTAGGATGATTTGGTTTAGTTTTTTCTAAAGCAATGTATGATTGGATTCAAATTAAACACATTAAAGAACCACAAACGTAGGTTTTCAACTTGTAATTTTAACAAGAATTAGTCACTTTTAAGGGTTGCATGTTGTTGATTCAAATTACATTTTTTTCATACCAAGACATAACTGGAAGAAAACAATAATCATTATAGTCCCGAGAGAATAGGGTTGCATGTTGTTGATTGATATACGCTCGAAGTCATAATTAGAAGCCATTGAACGCCATAGCCCTAAAATCGTAATTGAAAGCTATTGATTGCAACATTTTGTTGTCACTCGGCTCGAGTACTTGGAATACCAAATTGGGAATAGTTGTCAGACAATTATTTAGTTCATTTAGCAATAGTTAAACAATCAAATAAAAAGTATCCAAAATGTTAAAAAAAAATCACTAATCATTAATTATCAATTTGAACAAATATTACATAATCTATATCTATTTTCACTTGAACTTCTTCTTATGTACAAGAAGCCTTCTCAATCAACCATTTACTTAATTGGAGATTTTCCTAAAATATTTAATTAATTGAATTAGTTTACATCATCAAAACTCATTGCTTGATTATAGTTCTATAATATAACAATAATTCATAAATATACATGTGAGACTGTGAGTGGCTATGATTTACTTTTAATCTTTCAAATTAAAAATAAACGTAAATGTATGCAATGATAATCTTTATTTTACATGCATATTATTTAATATTTTAGTTTTCAACTTTTTAACTTTTATTAAGTCATTTTTTTCTGGAGCTCGTCTAAAATTTTATACTAAAGAAGTGCAACTATTTTCATTTCCAACCTTTTTTTTTTATTTTTTGCGCAGGTCCATGCTTCTCTAGTTAGTATCATGCAGGGTGAACTTTTGTATTTGCATATAATTTTTTTTTTCATTTTATTACATTCTTTCAATATATATATATATATATATATATATATATATATGTTGTTCTTTCCATTTTATGTGCATTATATTCTAACATAGGACTTTTGATTCATCACTTTAATGTAATATAGTACTACTAAACTTGGTAAGTATACATAGCTTGTGTTGTGTCAATAAATGCACTGAATCAATAATAGCATTTTAATTATTATAAAATAAAAATATAATAACCCATATCCCTTCTTTTTCAAAGATTGAACTTCCCACTTCAATATTTTCTTAAGTTCTTAAATTCCCTTTAATAATGCACAACCTAACCATCAGATACATGATTACATCAATTTACATAGCTAATTTAGGACTTTTTTACATCAAATTTTTTAATTAAATTAACGATATTAATTTAACTCTTACCTTAGCTTCCGAGAATACTAATTTGCCTCATTACTTTGCCCGACTATGCCGCGTAATTCTATCATTGCCTAAAACAACATTGATAGTGTTAACCTACATAAAAAATAATGTTGGAGGCATCAAACATCTTCAAAGCAACGTCGAATGCATCGAACATAGTAAATGACAACATCAAACACATCAAATTATTAAATCATATCCCAAATTGCATTGCATATTATATTCTATAAAATAATCGAAATCATTAATTAAATTTCATTGCTTACCTACAATTATTCTCCCCCTCGTCTAGTCGAGATCAGACTGATAAATAAATATTCTTCTTTGTCCATGTCAAATACAATTGCATAAATTAATTTAATAAATTTGAAACATAATTTTTTCTCAAATAGGAAATTTACTCACCATATGTATCTTCCTTTCTATCTCCAAACAGGTTGCACAGACTCTGCCTTCAACTTCGATTATTTGCAACGACTTCAAATTTTTTCTCTATTTCGTATACGCCTCTTGTGGCTTTCTTCGATCAAAATTGCAAACATGTCGTTATTATGCAACTTCCCCTTTTTCCTCTATCTCCAACTTTGTCAAATGCGAATGCCCTCGCCTCTGCCTTTGACTTGCTCTTTCTTGTAGAATGCATGAACTCCTCTTCTTCGTCTTCTAGTGGAAGTACGAAAATGCACGTAACTCCACACAATCAAGCACTCTCCTTACTCTGCATCAAGCACTGTGCAATTTGCCTGAAACTTCTCTCTTTTTTTTATCTGCCTTCAACTCTTCCTAACCACAGATAGATTTTACTTACGCGAGGAGTGACGTCTCACTGGCCATGAGGGTTCCCTTTTTCAATATTTTCCAGTAGCTTTTTCTTCACAAGAATTTATCTCTATCTCTGCGTGAATTGCTCAATCAACTAGCTCCCTAAATGAATTGCACTTAACAACAGATGGGGATCTCTTGATGTCCTCTCTCAGGCTGAAAGGAAGTTGTAGATTTTCTAATATTCGTGTTGCCCAATAGATGGTACAAATCTAACAATTCTAGCAAACTGTGTCTCATACTCTTGGATTTATTTTGTCCCCTGCTCAAGCTTCCTCAAATCGTTCATCAACTTTGATCAGTCCGCCATAGGAAAATATTGCTTCAGAAACACTTTAAAATTCTTCCCAAGGAATTATTGCATATGCTCCAAAGTTATTTCGTCGTATGCTCTCCCACCAATCATCAGCTCCTTCGCATAGTTGAAATGCAGCCATGTATACATTTCAGTCTTCTGGACATTTAATGCCACAAAGTCTCTTTTCTATGTCATGAAGCCATACATAAGATTTGATTAGCCCAACTGTCCCATTAAATATTGGAGGGTGAGTCTTTAGGAATTGACCCATCACTCGATATATCACCCCTTCATTGGTTGGAACGACCTATAACATAAAAGTCGGTTTAAATAAATAAATCTATTAATATTAATTATTTTACTTAATTTCTTTGACTTTGACTCGATTACCTGCGCTGGATCAGCACCAGGTTCTCTTATGGCTTCTTGGGGCACTAATGGGGGTGTCGGTTGGGTTGGTTGTGGTACTTGTTGGGTGGCTTGATTAATTCCTTGCACTGTTTGAGTAAGCTGAGTGGTAACCTCTGTCATCATCGTTATTAAAGCAGTGATATCCGAATTTGGAGCAACAACACCTCGACGTTCTTGAGTGCGATGTCCTCTGGGAATAGGTGGGGCTTCCTCAGTAGTTCTCGTGGCATCAGTTCTAGGAGCGGTAGCAACATTCTTTCTTCTTGGCACCATTTTGAATTTTTAAGTATGTACATCAAAATAAAATATATAGATAATTACAAGTCCTATATACATATGTATAAGTTAATTATTAAGGGTAACCTAAACTAATATGACCTAGTACCCGATACTAAAGAATCAAGGAATATCAAATATAAAACATAACGTCTCTGATACCACTCTGTTACATATTGGGTCTAGAAAGCGGTACACTCTGACAACATGGGACACAATGAAGGATAGAATGACCTGTTTTGTATTCACAAAGAGAACTATGCACATACAAGAGATATAACATGGTACATATATGTACATTAGGATAAACAAAGGAAGTGAAATAAAGAGTTAATTCATTAATAGAGGTTCAAATAACCAAAACATCCAAATAATAGTAGTTCTAATACAAGCCAACTGGAATATAAATAGAATAAAAAACATGAAAAAACTAACTAATCCTCGGATTCATAAACATAATAAACTAGTACAAAGTAATAAATAACAAAATAATTTACTGCTAGTAACCCTGCTCCTGAGGTGGTGGTCCACTAAACATGTCTGCAAGAACTGTTGAAAAAGACAACGGATTAGTTTTATAAATCAAACTCAATAAGTAACTCCTATCCATTAAAGCATAAACAACAAATGAATAGGGCATGCAGTATGAACAACCAATGGGTGGAATGAACAACCTAAAGTCACCAAATCAAAGACACATGCCTTGTTTCCTACAACGACAATTTAATATACTAGCACCATTAATGTATGTGCCAAACTACTATCAATGCAAATTATTTTTAAATGCAATCATACTAGATATCATCGTACCTCAAAATAACCTACAATCATTTATTACTTCTAATTTATATACACTTATATTTTTTTATATTTAGCATATATTTTTATTGTCGGCTCATCATATACCAATCATTGGGAAGGTAAATACAAATCTAAGGAAATCCAGTGATTTTCTGTAGGGACGTCATTCTTGGGCCCTTCAACCTAGGCTAGCAAAAAACTAATAGGGTTATACCGACATGCACATAATCATATAGTGTAAGTGTTATTACAATTAATCAACATGTGTTTTACTATGATGCACCGATACTTCTTCTCAAAGAGGCGTGTAGTATCCGACACAACACATGTCAGACACGTGTCAGACACGCCGAAAACATGTCCGATTAAAAAAAATATTAAATACAAATTGGACACGCGTGTCCAACACACGTATCTTAAATATTTTATGATTTTTTTAAAATATAATTTCTTGTATTTAAAATTTTTACTTATTTAAAATATAAAAATTAAATTTCTCATTTCCTATCCACAATACCAAATCAATTGCCCACACTTAATACACATTCATCGAATATTCTCATTTTCATTTCTCTTTCGCGGGTTACAACTTTGATTTCACAATAATGTATGATGTAATCTCAATATCGACGACTGTCATCATTACATCATCAACATTTCAAAATGATCTCCATATCAAAGTCTGACGCCATCTTTACATTGATGCTTGATGCTAGCAATTTCTACACCCACAACTTGACATCTCATATTTGTCCAACGCAATCTTAACATTGACGACCAATGACCTCTCAACATTGATGATAAACACTCTCTTAACATTGACACCAAATATTTACTGCATAACATCAATATGCCCAACTCTTAACATCATTGTCATCTCTTCTCTCGATGACTGATAAATGGCACCAATGCCCGACTCTCGACATCCTAATATTAATCATTTTAAGCACAAATTCTAATTAAATGACTTATTATTTCTAAATTATTTTTTAAATTATACTTATTCAATTTTTATACACTATTTTTAAAATATAAAAATTATAATACCGTGTTCAACACGTGTCCGTATCCTATATTTTTAATATTTGACGTGTCTCCGTGTTGCCGTGTCCGTGTCTGTGCATCATATGTGTTATATAATTCAACATGATAATTACAATTTATAGAATCAACTTGATTTATAACAGGAGTATCAAGTATTGTAATAAATAAAACAAATGTGATTTACATTCAATCAAGAGCATGCATGAAATACAAATTTGATATACATGAGATTATGCAGCAATAAATCAAGAATATTCTATTTATGAAGCTTCTAATTCATTATGAGCAAATTTGTAAAATAACAGAAATCTACAATGACAGAACTCCCACTTAACATCAAAAGATCTAGCAATAGAATTAAGAATAACACCCCTAACTAAGAAATGCACTTTTATCCTATAAATAAATAATAGTTACTTACAGTGTTTGCTACAAACTCAAACCTCGAAAGTGGCTCGCTCGACTCCACCAAACGATAGTCCTATAAATAGCAAAACCAAAATAACATTAAGCACGTTCATCGAGGCATAATGAAGACTATCCTTATCAATCTTAACCATGTCATGAACACCAAAATTAATTATATAAAATAATGTAATCTAAAAATATATAAATAACATAGGGTTTAAAATAAGGGCTCCTTCGAAAATAATTTAAAATCCCTCATAGCAATGAATTAAGGCAACACCAAATCAAATCTAGCAAAACACTACAAAAGATGACCTCTACTAACATAACTTGAGAATAAAGAGGAAGAAAGGAAGAAGGAGAAGAGTTTGGACTCAAAATTGGAGGAACTTACTTGAGGCTATTGTTAGAGGAAGAGAATGAAAAGAAGTAGAGGGGAGGGAGTTTGGTGGCTGCTGCTAGAAGGAGAAAGGAAGTTTTTCGATGCCCTAAGTCTCCAAATTGAAATAAATGGCGAGAGGGAGGCAGCGAGGTGGGATAATATGACGAATAGAGAAGGAAATCACGATTGGAGGGAGAAAGGATCGCACCTTGCTCCGTTCGGTAACGTGCGATGCTGCTGGCGTGCGAATAGTGGAGTTGCTCGGTTCAAGCCATCTGGAGGCTCGACTTCAGTTGGTGTGGAAGGGGCGGTTCGCGAGCGGGACCGATTAGTCCGGTTCGGGTTACAAAATGCAAAGCCTTTGTAGCATCCGTGAATAATGAATGATTTGGAGGCCTCGCACAAAGAGGTATTTAAGCAATGGCTATTAAAAAGATGTATCAAAATATTGTCTCCAAGCGGGAGATTGTTAAAACTATAGAGTGAAATATTTTTCCATCAAATCTTTCAAAATATGATTGAGATCTCCTATTTATTATAAATAATAGATTGAAATTTTCAAAGATATGATTAAACTTTTTTTTTTTTGGGTTATTAGACCTTCTGTTAACTTTAGGAGGCCTTATTAAATTCTATAATTAGTTATATTTGCAAACCTATGCTTTGCTACCACCATAGATAAGCCTTAGGAAGATTTTAATACAAGCAATTAGAGAGAAGAGGGAGGGAAAGGGTAGACGGGCCACCAACTGAGAGAAGGGAAATGTTTTTTTGGAAGTTTGCATGAGCATGGTCTTTTGGTTCTTCAAGAAAAAAGGTACAACGAGTTTTGGTTCCATCAAGAGGAGAAGTTTCCATCCATAGAAATTTAGAAACTTTCGTTTGGACTCCATGAATAGAGAAACAAAAAAGAGTAATAATAACAATATCATCTTCTTCTCCTCATTCAATCCTTGTTTTTGCTGCTAGTGGCTGCATTTCCTTTTAGTCATTGATATTTATAAAATAGCATCTATATTATTATCTTTAATTTTATATGAATAGAAATTCTTAGTGCGCCATTCTTTTTTAATTTTATATGAATAGAAATTCTTAGTGTGTCATTCTTTTGAAATTTAGTAAAATATTTGATCTTTGTATGTTATGAATGCAGATAAATCTCACTGAACCACGAAAACTTATATCTTTTGTTATAATCTCTATTATGTTTCGTCTTCATTTCATTATTGCTTGAATTTTTATTACCATTCCAACACAAGTTGATCTATATTTGGGTTTAGCTCATTAAGTAGATGATCTTGTAAAATGAGCCAACTTTGAGCTTATTATTGACAACCCTACCTAGAGAAAATCAATTAAAGTTTAATTAATTTAACTACATGGGAACTTTTCTCTTTTTAACTGTTTATATGAAGAAAATGATCAAAATAGTCTCTTAATTCTTTAGGAAGGACTAAAATAGTCCCCAACTATTTTAAAAAATCTTTTTGGTCCCTGAACTCCTAAATGAGTAACCAAAATAATTCCACCATGAGATATTTTGATTTATTTTTAAAAATTTGAGGGACCAAAATGATCATTTAATATAGTTGGGGACTATTTTAGTTCTTCTTAAAGAGTTAATGAATCATTTTGGTCATTATCTTTTTTTATAAGTATGTGAAAGTTAAACTACTTGATTGAGTTTTTTCCAGCCAGATTATCTGTATTTTTAAGACACTAAGTTTTTCCACGCTTTAATACCAAATGGAGGTTATTCTAAGAGAATTTGAATCAATAATATTAGTTGAGGGTCTAGGAAACTACTTAGCAGTTGGGAAAGCAGAGAGACAAACATTTTGAGTAAGTCATCTAGCCTGAAGCAATTCAATGCTCACTGTATGTGAAAGTGAACTAAAATGGCTTTATGCCCCAAAAGAAGAGAAGAAAAACATAATAAGTTCAGTGGGATCAAGCATGGACAGTTTTATTTGGTTTGCTCGATCTACAAATGCTTGCATGCTGTTGTTGGCCTGGTTGTAAAGGAGACAAGGAGCCTTGAAAATTTACTGCCAATTGCTCATTCAGATTAGCCTCTTTAATATATCTGACTAAAAGCGCTTCATGCTACGTGAGCTAATTTTGATTATTACGCCGCTCTGTTTCTTGTCCCTCTTATTGTGTTTATCTTTCCAGGTTGTAGCCGTTGTTTGAGTGGGACCTGCTTAATCATGTTGGAGATTAGATCACAGAAGGTGCACAATCTAAGTGGTTCATAGCTGCATCTTAAACATCCATTGGCATTTTTTATTACATATTTTCCCTAGTTGTATTTTTTATCTATTTGCTTTTTTTATTTTAAAGTTGAATTTCTTTTCATCTCTTGTTTGAGTCTTTTAATAACAGCTAAGCTTGGGATGTGTGGAATTTATCCATATTATTCTTAGATCACTGTGCTGCATTTTCACGTTTCTTATTTAAAATGGTAAGTGACTTAAATGTAGGTCGGACCTAGTGATTGTCGAAGTCTTGATAGTAACCAGCATCAATCTGGTCGATCTGCAAAGGCCTCAATCGGAATCACAGTTGAGAAATCCCCTACCGTGGCATCTGGCGTTGGAAAAAAAGATGCTCCTGCACTGCATTCTGCAGATATACATTCCTCGGCAAAAGGAATGGGTGTAGGTGATCAAAGCCGACCGCATGGTGAAGTAAACTCTGAAATAACAAAAGTGGAACTTAAGGGACAAAAGAACTCAGAGTGCTTACCATCAAGGTCCTCATGCTGCAAGACATCAAATGCAGATGCAAGCAAGTTTTATTTGAATCAGTTACCAGTGCTACCTTCTGTAGTTTCTATACACAAAAAGGTCTATGAGCACGATAGAGAGCAACGTGGAGATGCCTATATAGATCAAGGACTTACATTTGTCTCAATGAAGAAAACAAACTTATTAGACCAAGAAATCAGCGGAGAACCAACTGTACAACCCTATAAGAGCACCACTGATGGACTTAAAATGAAGCTCTGGGAGATCCTTGGTGGTGCTCCTTCACAGAAAGAGAATAGCATAAATTCTAAAAATATTGATATGGGCAAAGAAAACGTTTGCGTGGAATATAACCGAGGATTACAGAAGGGTAGAGCAGCCAGAACTAAACCGAGTTCAGATCCAATCGAGACTGATTCAGACAGCCCTAATCAAACCATAAGGAGACCTGCTACTCGTTCCATGACCAGGAAAAAAATTTCAGTTAAAATAGGGAAAAAATTGGATGACGCTTTAAACAATGGCAAAAAGCCTTTGTCATCCACATGTTCAGATTGTAAACTTAAAGCCAAAGAGAACCTCAAAGGGAGCGGTCATGAGAACATTTTATTTTCCTTCGGTAGAGATGACCAAGGAATGCAAAACCAGAGTGCGTATGCGAAGAGTGAGGCTGACATTGAGTTCAGGAAAATAAGCGGATCTGTTTCTGATATTATTCCTAATGTTCAAACAAACTTTAAGTGTAAGGACAAAGAAGACATTTTTTCCTTTGCTTTAGCAGTAGGAAACAAGATAACTTCAGTGAAAAGTGCAAATGCTCAGTTCGAAAAGTTTAATGAGAAGAGAAATGCTGCCATTGAGAAGGAGGCGATTTATGTTCCCAATCTATCTTGTTCAAAGAGTACTCTACAAAAAAATGAAAAGAATAAATCATTTCCATCTGCTAAGGTGCTGCAAAGCATGAATGATATTGAGATTTCTCCCTGTATGTCCTGTCCAAGCAAGACACAATCCTTGCAGCCAAAAACTGCTCAAAATGATACTCAAAACTCCCAAATGAATGCACAAAACCTATCTGGCATTCCATTTGTGCTTGAAGCTGTGGCTTACGAAAATACTCAAAGCTCACTACTGAAAAAGGAAAAAAGATCACGTGGACCTGTGAACAGTTCTGCAATGTCAAAGTTTGCATCCCAACATGATAAAGCTACCCGTTCGCCAGTGACTAGTTCAGCAGATACAGCAGATGATTTGCAGAGTCCTACATTAGCAGGCAAAGTGACTACAACTACTTCAAGTAGACCATCAAATGAGATTGTTGGTAGCCCATTACAAAGTAGGAAAATAGAATTTACTTGGAACTTTAATAATTCTGATATCATGGATAACAAGTCAAGATCCTGCGGTTCAGGAACAAACACAGAATCCTCTGTATCCTTTTGTTTATGCCCTCCAAATCATTTACATTTTGCCATGTGCCTGGACCTGACTTCTTTTACATGAAAATTGTGTTCAGCATCTTTGTTTTGCCTTAAAGAGCTTCCTCAGGATGACACAAAAGAGGTTTATGAATCACGAGAAGAGGATTCTACATTTATGGATGGAAATGAAACTAAAGAACAACTGTCATTATCACCAAAAGCAAGGCATGATTCTGATAGCTTTGGAGCAGAAGAATTAAAGATCAAAGGTTCTCTATTCTGCATATTATTAATACAGCGAGTAATATGATCCAGCACAATTTTGCTCGTATCCCCTGATATGCCCTCTACCATGTTTTTGTGATTGATTGATGCATATGATGCATTTGTTATGCGTGCTTAAAGTTCTAAGAAATATGACAAGTAATCAGCATCTCATTTCACAATCTCACAATAATGACTGAACATATTTTAGGCATGGCGATCTTTGTGCAATGTCTTTTGAGTCATATATGTTATCTTTCCAATTTTGAATTTGATTTAACTATGCTTGTTTTAAATTTTTTAATGTAGATTTTTAAAAAATTAATTTTCATGCATCTTCAAAATTCCCCCTTCAAACCTTGGGGATTTATCTTAGACATTCCAAGAAGTAATCCGTGAGGTGGTCCATGAAATGCCATCATTTGACAAAAAGTTTGTGATTACTATATGAGTTTCAATTTATCCGCTACAGACATTTTAAAAACCTAGGAGTCAGCTACTTAAATCAGAAGACTACTTACATGCTGAATAATCTCTTGTAAAATATGAATGGTATGTAGTCATTCTGTTTCAGATAAGTTTACTGGGTTCATGTTGGCGGCATATATGTTAATTGATAAAGTCAGTCCACTCGTAACATCTTGCGTTGCTCTTTAGTCTTTTAGTAATTGTATGCTCGACACTTTTTTCCAAGTACCCAGATAATCCGATGATTGGTTTTTTTAGGACTCTTCTTTGGATATTTTTAAAGAAGTTTGTCATATCAAAAAAATCATTAAAACATGAGATGGTATTTCAGAAAATCCAGCTACACTGGTTAGTCTTATACAGGTTTATTTCCTTTTATACTGCTATATGATATAGCATGCTGCCTCTTGGTTGCTTTGTGTTACTTAATGGTCAATCATTGTAAAAAACAACAAATTAAACTTTCACATTCTTAAAAAATCTATAAGCAGCTATATTCCATGAGCTTAAAAGGAAGGGAAATAAAAAATAAAAAACAAGCAATATTAACTCAGTTTTCCACAGCCTATGCAGCCTGTGAATATCTTGTTTCTCATTTCACGTTTTACTTGTTGGAAAAGGTAAAAAAATGATGGACATGATGAATAAAGAATAAATATTGCTTGTTTACATGAAATTATATGAAAATTTAAAATTTATTGTTTGTTGGACAATTTAACAACATGAATGAGATTGGGATTACAATGGATAGAGAGTTAAAAGAATTATTGAGGTGACTAGGGTTATTAAAATGGTGATTGTTATTAAGATAATTATTGATAAAGATATTATGAGTGCTTATACTTCTTAAGTTGGATTAAAAGATTAAAAAATCAAATTTGAGATATATGAATGAACTACTTCATTGTATAATCCAAAATAGAGAAGGCATTTATTAGGGATGATTTAAATGGAGACACAAGTTTTAGTAGGATGATCTATGAGAGGATTCATAGTAGTTATGGAATACATATACAACAATAATAATAATATCAAGTATTTATTCCACTACTTGGGGTCAACTATATGAATCTTTTTTCTCCATTGTGTCCCATTAAGAGTTAAACTCTCATTTAAATCTAATAGAAAATTATAATTTCTAATTATTTCTAACCAAATCTCTTTAGGTCTACCTCTACCTTTTTTAATATAGGTCAAATCTAATACATCTATTATGCTAACCGAGTCATCGGAAGATGTTTATGTGACCAAACCATCTAAGGCGACTATCTCTAATCTTATATGCTACTGGAGCTAGTTCGACCTTATCATGTATATACTCATTTTGCATCCTGTACCTAGGAGTGAAGCCACTCATCTACATGAGCATCATCATCTTTGCAACACTTAACTTAATTTTATGCTCTCTTTAAATGGCCAACATTTACAAAAATGCAAAAGAAGAAATTATTCTTGATTTTATAATAGTTTATGATCTTCCAATAAGGAATGCATAATGTAAGAAATAAGAAAACACTTACAAAAATAGAGACACTAAATCACAAATAAATTTCTTCCTACTTGTAAAGATTACAATATAATTCTAATAGAGAGTTTGACTGCTCAACATATAGTAGTAATTATAGATGTTCATCGAAAGAGTAAAAAAATAAAGTAAAACAAATTATTTCCCTTGGACAATGTTGTGGAAATTTAAAGGTAAAATTTATCACCCTTTTGACATAGGGGGTTGTTATAAAGGAGGCAATTTTAAATTTATTAGTTAAACCAAAACTAATATAGGATAAAAAGTTAATTACATTACAAAGTTTCCATAGAATTTTTGTAAGGAGTTTAGAAATAGATCATAAATTGACAAGGAGACTTTATGGTGGAGTGTAAATACAAAATATTATTGAGGAAAACAAGTGTTCTTTTAATAGATGCTAAAAATAAACACTTGTGAGTCTCATATTATTATAGAAAAGTGTTACGATTGGACCGGTCTCCACTGGACCGGTCCGGTTGTACACCAGGCGGAGCCTGGTTGGGCGGAAAAAGGAGGAGGCGGAAGCCCTTGTGGGCCCCACGTGGGTTTAAATTTGATTTGGGAGGGAGATTTTTGAATGAGGGGCTGTTTTAGGATAATTGCAATTATCCTTTGTCTTTAATTAGGAGTTATGGAGAGATGTTTTAGGGCATCTGGATTTTGAATTTCGTTTGGAGATCTAGGTTTGTTCTTGGGCTCTTGGCTTTGCCGGAGATCGTGGAGAGTGCTTCCTTCCTCTCGAATTGAAGGAAGATTTGTATCTTGCAAGTGCTTTTCATCTACTATTGAAATAAAAGTGTTTTCTTTGATTTCCTACGAATTTCTATTGAGTTTTCTCTCAATTCTTCCACTGTTTGGGCTGTGTTCTCGCTGCGGACAGTAGTTTCTTTGCTTAGGTACTTGATTTGGATTAGGATTACTTGTGCACACAAGTACTTCCTATCAAATTGGTATCAGAGCATCGATTGGGGACTTTAGGCGGCTGAAATTATGATTTTTCAGCAAGTTTTTGGCTTTCGGAAGTGAGTTACGTGAGATCCGTGGAAAGAACGATGGCCGAAAAGAAGGTAGAAGTCTTGGAAGGCGAAGTCGGACAATTGAAAGCCGATTTGGAGGAGAGATTTTTTTATTTTCAAAATCAAATCACCACCAACAATAAAAAGTTGGAGGGGAAGTTCACTGTCATGGAAGAAATGCTTAAAAAGTTACTGGAGATGAAGACAAATCCGATGACGTCGGAAGTAAGAGAGACTACCGGAGGCCACGTCGGTGGAGGAAATCCAATCCCTTTTAGGGGGAGGAGAAATCCGGAAGTGGAGGTCATTGAGGGGGAGGATGACATGCCGCCTCTAGAACCACTTTCTAGAGAAGAGATGAGCTTGGGGAATGATCGGAGGGGTGTTGATTTCATCGGAAGAAGGGAGGAATTCCATCGGCGAGGGGCTGATTTTGAAGGGAGAAGAGGAGAATATGATGAAGGGTTCGGGTATAATCGCCAGAGGGAAGATCGTGACAGTTGGGGAGCACCTCATCTTCGAGGGATGGGAGGTTATGGAGGATTTCGGGGAAACGGGGGAGATCCTAAGGTTAGGAAATTGAAGATGCCGTTTTTGAGGGGGAAGACGGCCATGGCTGGATCTACAAGGTGGAGCGTTATTTTGCTGTCAACAGGTTGACAGAGGATGAGAAGCTGACAGTTGCTGGATTGTGTCTGGAAGGAAAAGCTTTGGCATGGTATCAGTGGCGTGATAGGAGGGAGCTCATCCGGAGCTGGAGGGAGTTCAAGGATTGCTTATTAGAGCGTTTTCGAGCCGATGGGGGAGGAGACTTCTATGAGCAGTTCTTTTCCCTGACTCAGGAGGGGACGGTGGCGGATTATCGAAACATATTCGAGTACTTGGCTAGTCGATTGGATCACATCTCGGAGTCGGCCCTGGAGGGGAACTTCATGAAAGGGCTTAAACTAGAAATACGAACAACTGTCAGAGTATTGGAGCCGAGGAACCTGGGGAAGGCTATGGAGCTGGCACAGTTGGTAGAAGATCAAAAGAAGTCTGAAAGGGGAGCTCGAGGAAATTATTCGGGGGGGTCGTACAGGATGACTACTACCCTCTTGCCTTCAAATGGAGCAGCCTCAGGGAGTCTGAAGGAAGCACCAAAGGAGAGGACTGGAGGAGGGGGAAACGGGGGACAGTTCAAACGGCTGACCGAGAAGGAGATGCAGGAGAAGAGGTCAAAAGGGTTGTGCTTCCGATGTGACGAGAAGTACATGCCCGGACATAGGTGCAAGGACCGAACTCTTCAGGTTCTCCTCGTTTGCAAAGATGAGGAAGACGAGGAAGGAGGTGGGAGCGGGTCAGAAGGGGAGGAGAAGTTGCATCTGGATATGACAAAAGTCTCTCTGAACTCAGTAGTGGGGTTCACTCCGAGTCACACTATGAAAGTAAGAGGAGAGATAGCTGACCATGAAGTAATGGTGTTGATCGATAGTGGGGAAACCCACAATTTCATTTCTGTCTAGATCGTTGACCAGTTGGGGATGGAGCTAGTTGATACAGGGGGCTATGGGGTGATGATGGGCACGGGGAAGGTGGAGATGGGGCTAGGAGTTTGCAGGGGAGTGGTCTTGACCATCCAAGGGCTACGGGCGAGGGAGGAGTTTCTCCCCTTAGAATTGGGAAGTACATATGTCATCCTGGGGATGAAATGGCTACAGACTTTGGGGGAGACCAAGGTCAACTGGGGTGCTCTGAGGATGGAACTGATGATAGAAGGGCAGAGGAAGGTGATCCAGGGGGATGCAGGGCTGTCAAGGGCAGTCGTATCTCTCAAATCTATGATCAAATCCATACAGGAGGTGGGAGGGGGATTTTTGGTGGAGCTACAACGTTTGGAGAGGGTTAGTGTGGGGGAAGAAGGAGACATTCCACAGGTGGTGCAACCGCTCATATAACAATACGGGGAGGTGTTCCAGCCACCCCAGGGATTGCCACCACCTAGAGAGCAGGAGCACGCCATTCTTTTGAAAGAGGGAGTGTCACCGATCAGTGTTCGACCATACCGCTACCCCCAGATTCAGAAAGATGAAATTGAGAAGCTGATCAAGGAGATGTTGGAAGCAGGGATCGTCAGACCTAGTGTGAGTCCTTTCTCCAGTCCAGTCTTACTTGTCAAAAAGAATGATGGGAGCTGGAGGTTTTGCGTGGATTACAGGGCCCTGAACAAGGAGATGGTACAGGACAAATTCCCCATTCCAGTGATCGATGAGTTATTAGATGAGCTGCATGGAGCAGTGGTGTTTTCAAAGATGGACCTGAAGTTGGGTTACCATCAAATCAGAATGAAGGAAGGGGACATTCAGAAGACGGCTTTCAGAACACACGAGGGGCATTATGAGTTCTTGGTGATACCATTTGGGCTCACTAACACCCCTGCCACCTTTCAGTCCTTGATGAACAGGGTGTTCCGGCAGCACCTGAGGAAGTTTGTGCTAGTCTTCTTTGATAACATATTGGTGTACAACCAAACCGAGGAGAAACATTTGAAGCATCTGAAGGAGGTTTTGGGGATTCTACAGACACATCAACTGAAAGCGAACTTAAAGAAGTGCAGTTTTGCCCAGTCGAGGGTGGAATATTTGGGACATGTAGTGTCTTCAGAGGGGGTGGCAGCCGACCAGTCGAAGATTGAAGCAATGCAGAAATGGCCCATGCCTAAGATCATCAAGGGGTTGAGGGGTTTCTTGGGACTGACGGGATACTATATGAGGTTTGTGAAGGGGTACAGTTCCATTGCTTGGCCGTTGACGGAGCAACTGAAGAAGGACAATTTTTCATGGGGGGAGGCAGCGACCCAGGCCTTTGAGAGGTTGAAGAAGGCAATGACGACAGTTCCAGTATTGGCCCTTCCAGATTTCAGCCAGACATTTATAATGGAGACAGATGCGTCGGGATATGGACTGGGGGCAGTGTTGATGCAGAACCACAGACCTATAGCCTACTTCAGTCAGGTGCTATCGACCAGGGCTCGGTTGAAGTCAGTGTATGAGAGAGAACTGATGGCCATAGTCTTAGCCATTCAAAAATGGCGGCCTTATCTACTAGGTAGACATTTTATCATTCGCACGGATCAGAGGAGTCTAAAATACCTGTTGGAGCAAAGGATGGTGACCGAGGAACATCAGAGGTGGCTGTCAAAGCTCTTGGGCTATGATTTTGAGATACAGTACCGGCCAGGGGTAGAAAATAAGGCGGCTGACCCCTTATCCAGATGCATGGGGGAACTTCAAGATATGACAGTATCACTACCACTGATGGTTGACTGGGGGGCCATCAAGGAAGAGAGCATGCAAAATGAAGAGCCGAAGAAGATCAGGGAAGAGTTAAAGAAGGATAGTAGTAGCCATTCAGGCTATTATTTGGAGGGAGAAAGGTTGCTGCATCAGGGGAGATTTGTGATACCTCGAACATCCATCCATATTCCTCACCTATTGCAAGAATTTCACGGCAGTGCAGTTGGGGGACACTCCGACGTACAGAAGACCTATAGGAGGTTGGCATCGGAGCTTTACTGGAAGGGAATGTATAAGGATGTGGAGGAGATGGTGGCAAAATGTGAGGTATGTCTGCACAATAAATACATGGCCATGGCCCCAGGAGGGTTACTCCAACCATTGGCACTGCCAAATAGAGTTTGGGAAGAAGTGTCCATGGACTTCATCGACGGGTTACCCCGCTCAGAGGGATTCACAGTCATCTTGGTAGTGGTGGAATAACTTAGTAAGTATGCACATTTCATCCTCTTACGACATCCTTACACCGCGGTATCAGTGGCAGCCGCTTTCATCAGAGAAGTGGTTAGATTACATGGGATTCTTGAGTCAATTGTGTCTGATAGAGACAAGGTGTTCTTGAGTCAGTTTTGGAGAGAGCTTTTCAGGATGCAGGGAACTGTCCTCAAGAGGAGTACCGCATACCATCCACAGACAGACGGATAGACGGAGGTGGTAAACCGAAGCTTGGAGACTTATCTGAGGTGTTTTGCCTCTGTAACACCACGAAAATGGGCGAAATGGTTACCGTGGGCGGAGTATTGGTATAATACTTCGTACCATTCTGCATTCCAAATGACCCATTTTAAAGTGCTCTATGGAAGAGACCCCCCCCCCCCACACACACACACACACACTTAGTGCATTATGGGAGGGGAAACACACTGATCTCTGTGGTAGAACAATACTTTAGGTGTTGGAGGAGTTAAAGAAGCACTTGGGAAGGACACAACAAATCATGAAGAAGTGAGCAGATACACATAGGAGAGACATACAATTTGAAGTGGGGGAGAAGGTATTTCTGAAGTTAAGACCCTACAGGCAGATATCAGTGGCAAACAGGAGGAACAAGAAATTGGCCCCGAGGTATTTTGGCCCCTATGAGGTCATTGGGAGGATTGGAGCAGTAGCGTATCGTCTGAAGTTACCCCCATCCGCCACCATACACCTGGTGTTCCATGTGTCACAGTTGAGGAGAGCGCTTGGGGAGCATGCAGCCAGTGCCGAGCTACCAGCATCATTGACAGAGGACTTGGAGGTGGTCATGGAACCCATGAAATTGGGAGGAGTAAGAGTTAATAAAAAAGGAACCAAGGAAGTGTTAATCAAATGGAAGGATCTTCCCGACTACGAGGCTACCTGGGAGCCCTATGAGATGGTGAAGCAGCAGTTTTCGTACTTTCACCTTGAGGACAAGGTGAATATTTGGGAGGGGAGTTATTACGATTGGACCGGTCCGGTTTTACACCAGGCGGAGCCTGGCTGGGCGGAAACAAAAGGAGGGGGTGGAAGCCCCTGTGGGCCCCACGTGGGTTTAAATTTGATTTGGGAGGGAGATTTTTGAATGAGGGGCTGTTTTAGGAAAATTGCAATTATCCTTTGTCTTTAATTAAGAGTTATGGAGAGATGTTTTGGGGCATCTGGATTTTGAATTTCGTTTGGAGATCTAGGTTTGTTCTTGGGCTCTTGGCTTTGCTGGTGATCGTGGAGAGTGCTTCCTTCCTCTCGAATTGAAGGAAGATTTGCAAGTGCTTTTCATCTACTATTGAAATGAAAGTGTTTGCTTTGATTTCCTACGAATTTCTATTGAGTTTTCTCTCAGTTCTTCCACTGTTTGGGCTGTGTTCTCGCTGCGGACAGCAGTTTCTTTGCTTAGGTACTTGATTTGGATTAGGATTACTTGTGCACACAAGTACTTCCTATCAAAAAGCTAGAAGTATTCCAAAATGAGTATGATGAGCAATACAAAAGGTGTAATTTTGAATGAATAAAATAGGCCAAGCACCGAGGAAAGAGATATATAGCTAAGGTAAGAAATAAGAGATCTAGAGACTTTAACTAAATTAGATATATTAAAAGCTATGATAATATAAATTTAACTAAATCCATAAAAATCAAAGAACGACTAAAATATTACTTTGATAAATTATTAGTTAAGAGTTTTATGGAAGAAATTATTTCAAAAAAGCACACCTGTTCAATAGAAATTAGTTATTATAGATTGAGTAAAAAAATTGAATTAGATTTAGCTCCGAAGATGCTTAAAAACTAAGGATTTATATTCATAGGAGATTGTGAAACTTGGAGAGTTATGTGAGATATTGTATCAAATTGGTTAATAAATCTTTTCTATAAAAATTTGAACAGTAAATAGATGTCGAATGATTAAAGAAGAAACATTTTGGCACCAGTATATAAAAAAAGATGTTAAGATTGTGCAAACTAATGAATCAACCTTATGACCATATAATATTCGTATTAGAGAGAGTAATGGAACATACTTCGAAATATTGCAGCAGACTTAAAGAATTAATTTGATATCACACGTGAGAGATTTAATATGGAAGTGATTTTGTATTAAGGCACTTAATAATGAAATATATAGAGTAAAGAAATGATATCCATATGATATTTATTGATCTTGAGTTGTAAAATCAAAATTTCTTCAACAATATTGTATGAATCAAAGTGTTAGCAAAAAAGCTGATATTTAAGTCCGACGTTGAGACTTAATATAGATGTGTGGCAAAACTATAAAGAATAAGTTAATAAATAAATATATTAGAGGAACAATTGGCGCGTTATCTATTCATGATAAGGCTATTGAAATTATATCAAGGTGATTTGCACATGTAGAAAAAGTAGATAATGCTCCCATAGGAGAGTAGTCAAAATTAATGCCAGGATTAGGAAGGAGAATGTGGAGACCTAAGGCTAAATGGATCGAAGTTGTTTAAAATAATATGCGAAGAATTTGTTGAATGTCTTAGGAAGATTAAACAAGAATGAATGAAAAGCAAAGATTAATAAAGTTGAGCCCAAATAGTTGGGATAATGATATTGACGACGAAGACGAAGACGACGGAGTTTTATTAATCTTGCCATCTGATCACTTCTCTGGCAATTGGATTAGCAGTATCGGAAGTATATGCCTGAAGTTGATTTTATGAGTCACACGACAATAGACTAAATTCCATTAAATCGTGAATAAAAAAGTTAGGAAAACTGGCAGTTGCAAGGATTACTCTTTAGTTTTCATATAATTTTATTGTGTATGCATTTTATGAATTTAACTGCAGTCAAAATAAAAATGGCCGTCTTAAGCGCTCTGATAATGTTTTAAGACTTGACAAATTTTCCAGTTTGTTAGAAAATCTTAAAAAGTCTTTGGTCAAGTTCGAACTTTCATCTTGCATTGTTTTTCCATTTTGTGCCTTCTATTCTTTTAGAAGCTTCATGTTGCGGCTTATGTACGGATGGCATGACTTCTCTTAATGTTGTTTGCTTTTTTTTCTCTGCTGATAAAAGCATAACGGATGTGTTTTTCATGATGCTAAAGTTAAGGTCTATCATTATCTATTTACGATCTTTTTTGTTAATTAAAGAATCAGCTATGTAACTAAATAAGTGAATTTTTTGGCAGGATTCAGACAAACAAGGAAATGGTTTCCAAGTGTTGACAATTTAGACAAAACTCCGCCCAAGCTGCATAAAAGAAGAAGGGTTCATGGTCCTAAAGATGCCAAATTTAGTGAAGGCAACCTCTCTTTACCACCAGTAGTTGAAATTTTATATAACTAGTAAACATATATATCTTTTTGGATATGTTCTATTATCCTCATTGAAATTGATTTTATCCTGCATTAAATTGTCAGGAGATGAAACCAATGATTTGCATGAGGCTTCAGAGCAATCTGTAGAGGATAGCTTAGCAAGGTCTTTCAACTTTCATAATCCACTTTTCCTGACACCTTCAAACCTATTCATTACATAATTCTTGCCTTTCTGTTTCATGTAAAGGGCAGTGAGCCAGTTGGCTTTAGCATTGAGAAGAATCAACTCTAAGATACAATTACACACTAGCAAGAAAAGCTGTGAGATTATTTCTGCTGTGGCAGAGAAAATTAAGCAGCAGCTTCAGGATTTTGATTCTAAGATACAGGAAGACATGTAAGCTTTGTAATCTGCAAAGATGCTGTAAACTTTTTTTTTTTCAAGCCTTGGTTGATATTGATATTTCTGATCTATAACATTGATTTTAGGGGAAAATTCAGTGCCGCCAGCAAATCCAAAAGGAAACACCTAGAATCTCGATTTGAAGGTAATTCCGAATTCATTTCAACTGTGGAGGTTTTGCTTTTCTTTTTTTGGGCATACTGACATCATAATGTTTTGTGCCTATGAGATTTTATGGTTGCAAATTGTTTGAATAAACTCCTATTGAGCAAGAAAACATGGGCATAGACAATATGAAAGCAGGACTAGATGAACCAATTTGTCAGTCCTGAAACGAGACAATTTTAAGCAGCTACTATATACCCGTGTTTGGATCTTGTTACAGTAAGTTGTTTTTAGCGTTTAAACTGGTGTTCAATTGTGCCATGGAGGAAAATTTTGTAAACTGTTCCTGGTTAAAGTTCCAGATTGAGTTTCCTGAAATATTGTTGATGTTAGGGATCATTAATAGTTATGTATGATGCATAATAAGTTTGATGAAAATTTTGCAATTGATCTTTTGATGGGTAAACAAATATGACGACATAAGTTAAATTATTAGTCTATTTTGATTGTGTAACAGAACATGAACTGATGTGATATATGCAACGAGTTCACGAGAGATTAACAAGAGAATTTATTAAAAGTTAATCAATATAAAATTATGCGTCAAATTAAAGTAAGATTTTATAAATTCGTAGTCTTCCACTTGCTTAGGCAAAGAATTGTATGAAGATTAACCAAAATGTTCTTAATCAAATACAAAGACAATCGTAATGTAATA